ACCGCGACCCGCCCTGAGCCCCCGCCCACGTCCGTGACCGCGACCCGCCCCCGCCCAGGCTCTTTCCCAGCCTCAGCATCACCACGGAGCTCACCCACCCGTCCAACATGAGGTTCATGCAGTTCCGCGCCAAGGACAGCTACTCTCTGGCTCTTTCCAGGCTGGAGAAGGTGAGCGGCCCCGCCCGACCTGCCGAGCTGAGGGCTTCAGCCCCTGCGCCACAACCTGGAGGGAGTGGGCGACTGGGGCCACGGGAGGCCTGGGTGCCTGCCCTCCTCCGGCCAGGGGGCTCAGAGACCTGGGCTCAGCCCCAGCGTGAGGCTCTTGAGTGTGCAGCCCAGAGAACTCAGGGTCATCGGCCAGGAGTGGACATTGTCCCCCTAAGGCCGGGCCTGGCCCGGCCTTGTGTGAGGCAGAGGTTGCCCATCATGCCAGAAATTACTAGCCCAGGTGACACCGGCCCCGACACCGCGCCCAAACCTGAACCGTGTCCGTTCTGTCAACTGCCCAGCAGGGACGTGCTCGTCCCGGTACAGTCGGGGTGGGGGATAAGGGGGCGCAACTTGCCTCAGGTCACACAGCAGTGCGGTGGGACAGCTGAAGTCAGCTGTCTGTTTCTCGGGCTCCAGGAAGGGCATCAGCTGGGCTCAGGTGTGGAGCCCAGGGACACGGGTGGCGGCGGGCCTGGTGGTGCTGCCCTGGCACGTTTGTGGGCCCCAGGCCGCTGCCCGGGTCAGTGCAGCACTACCCTCCACCAAGGGGCAGGGCCGTGCTCAGGCTGCCTTGGGTGAAACCAGGAAGCAGGTGGGCTGCCACGGAGGAGACCCTGGCCGCTGCGGTCGGGGAGCAGTGACCATTCCCTGGGAGCCTGGGCTGAGGTCCTCGTCAGGGGACGGCTTGCACTTGCGTGGCTGACCCTGTGTCACACCGGGGAGGACCCCCGAACGGCCGCTCCCCCAGGCCAGGCCTGGCCACCGACAGCAGACAGAGGGACAGCATGGGAGCTCTGAACCCGGACAGACAACGGAAGTGAGTTCCCGTGGTGGCCCTGGAGCTCCTTGGATGGCAGCTGGGGGCCTCAGTCAGCGGCCCGGGAGCTCGGGCCGTCCTGCTCTTGGAGGAGGCTTGGCCTGCACCCCACACGATGGCCCACTGGACCCCCCTAAATGCCCCCTTGCAGTGCCCCATGAGCTGAGCCTGCCTCCGCTCAAGGCTGAGCCGTGGGCTTTGGAAGTCGGCCTCAGCAGCCCCAGCCAGACTGTATCCAGGCGCTCGGGCCAGTCTGATCCAAGTACGGGCAGGGGTGACCAGCACAGAACTGGGGTCAAGGCTGACACCCTGGTGCTGGCCCTCACTTGCCGCCTTCCCTCGAGCAAACCCAGTTCCCCACAGGCCTTGCACCCCGGACCTGTTCCGGAGGTGGGCGTGAAGTCCGTCAGCAAACACGCAGCAAACGTCCTCCCACTCCCCTTTCCTTGCACGGCAGACATCTCAAATCCACCTCCCAGCCCCTCCCTCTGTGGCAGGCATCACCACTTGATAGCACCTTCCCTTGCAGGATCGTCTCCAGGGGCAGGGGCGGGCGGCCCACTCCCCACCCCGTGGGTGCACGGTGGGGAGCCCAGTCCTGTGATTTGTGATCTGGAGAGAAGTCAGGAAGTGAGCACGTGTGACCGTGGGCGGCTGCAGCCTTGGGCGCTTGCTGGCTGAGGTCCACGTGGGGCCGAGGATGGGGCGGGGGGGCGGGCAGAGCCACGTGATGCCACCCAGTCTCTGGAGACGGAGCTGGCGCGCCCACCCCGCGCAGAGAGGATTCCACGGAGGATGGGGAGGGAAGATGGGATCGCGCTGTATGTACAACCTGCATGAGACAAGTCCTGTTTAATGAGTAGAAACTGAAGGAACACTGGAAATACTTCCGGCGTTCAGATCAACGTGCTTCCGAGAGGTCGCGCTGGCACTGGGGGGTGATTCAGGCGCAGAGGGCGGCATCCGTGTCTCCCTGGAGGTTGTTCTCAGGAAGATCTCCCAGAGTCGGGGTTCCCCACCGCATCCCAGGACGCAGGCTCCCAGTGGCGTCATCGTTCTAACAGTCTCAGCGCCTATGACAGTGACCTCGGCCAAGAGCCCGTTCAGACTGGCCCCTCTTCGGCAGTGCCCCGGATGCCCGTCCAGTCCTGCGCCTGCTTCCCTCTGGCCGCGTGGTTCTCAGGAGGGCTCGTCCCCGTGTGTTACCACGTTTCGCTGTCGCGTGCGACCTCGGAGCTCAGGCTAAAGCCTCTGGACCCTCCGCGGCCGCTACAGAGTGGACAGCGTGAAACCAGGGCCCTCGTTCAGAAAGCAGGAAAGTCCTGTGAAGCCACTAAAACGTCAGGCCTCTTCCTCCTCGGTCTCCCGACCCGTCCTGGTTCTCTTCTTCTCAAACCATTCGTTGTTCTGAGTGAAGGGAAACTGACAACTTTAACGATTTCGGGAATCTCTCCGTTTGTCCTCATAATGTGCGACCTGGGCTCTGAATGACACCGTGGGACGCAGCCTGGAGTCACCACGCCACGCGGCCCTGGTTCTGCGGCTCTTATGTGATAGCGCACTGTTTCCCTCCTGGATGCCCGCGTGCCGTCCAGCACGCCCTTGGGCTCCCTGCTGGTGGGGAGGGACAGAGGCGAGGCCTCCTTCCCCGGGCGTCTGTCTGCCCCGCCGTCCAACCTTGCAGCAAGGAGGCTGGCTGCCGAGGCAAAGTGCAGCCTCAGTGAGAAGGGCCACGAGAGGGCTCTTCGTGGTCTACGTGGCCCACTTTCTGTCTGTCTGAAGCGTGTTCTGGTCCAGCAGGAAGGACAGTCTCCCGGGCTCAAAGTCACCTCTCAGCCATAGGCCGACCTGCTGCGGCGGGGACAACGCCCCCAAGAAGCCCCTGCCCTAGCCCCGGAACCAGCACAGGGTGGAGAAGACGATTCCATGAAGAATCCTGAGATGGAGGGGGCCCTGGTTCACCCAGGGCCCACACGCCATCACCAGGGGTCTTGCAAGAGGGAGGCTGGAGGTCAGCATGGAGGTGGAGGAAGGGCCAGAGGCCAGGGACATGGTCAGCCTCTGGAAACGGCGAGAGGGAGAGGAAAAGGTCGTCCTCTGGGGCCGCCGGCTGGAGCACGGCACCGTGACGCCTGATTCCAGCCCCTGAAGTCTGTTCGGACTTGGAACGTCCAAAACCGACAGAGTAAACGCGTGTGGTTTTGAGCTTTGGGGTTTGTGGTCATCTGTTCCGTGGCCACGGGAGCCGCACACAGTGGGTCTAAGGGACCCGCGTGGAGCCTCGCGACGCCGTGCACGCAGCACAGGCAGACACGTCTGTCTCTGCTCACGCGCGTGCCCTGCCGTCCTGTCAGTTTCGCTCATGGACTCGTGCTCCGGGGTGAAGTTACCGTAAGGGTTAGGGTTCCGCGATGGCAACGGCAGGGCGTTAAACCAAGTCCAGGCTCCCGTTTCTTCCCAGCAGAGCCCCGAACCCTTACCCCCGCCTCTGGCCCCCCGTGTGTCTGGGGGGACGCGTAGCTGGGTGCTCGGCCGTCTGCTGTGTGTGTTCACACGCTCACCCTGCACACGTGCACACACCCCGTGCACGCGGAGGCCCCTGGGCTGCCTGCCCTGCGTGGCCGCGGCCGTGGCCACGGGCACCAGCCAGCCTGAGCCCCTCGTCCTGCAGAGGGAGCGGGAGAACGGCTCCAACCTGGCCTTCATGTTCCGCCTGCCCTTCGCCGCCGGCCGCGTCTTCAGCATCAGCATGTTGGACACGCTGCTGTATCAGGTCAGCAGGGGCGGGGCGGCGCCCGGCATCCGGCTCCAGCCCTGAGCCACGCGCCCCTCGCTGAGCATCCAGCCCTGGGTCCCCAGGAGGCCGGCCAGGGCTGGGAGGCTCTGGGCCCCATCCCCGCCGGGGAGCAGCAGGGGTTCACCCGAGTGTCCCCCGTCCTTTCCTCCCAGGAGAGCGCTGCCCTGGGGTTGGCTCCCGGCAGCCTCTGGGTTTCTGATCCCTTTTGACCTAGTGCACTCGGCCTAGTGAGCGACCACAGCCAGGAAAGGCCGCCCAGCTCTGTCTGCTGGGCGCACCGCACGGGAGGCTGTGGGCGCCCGGCGCGCGTGTCCAGGGGACGTGGAGGCAGATCTGCCCGCACTGCCTGGCCTCACTGCGGTCTCTCCTCTCCAGTCCTTCGTGAAGGACTACATGATCCCCATCACCAGGCTGCTCCTGGGGTTGGACACCACGCCGGGCTCGGGCTACCTCTGTGCCGTAAGTGCCTGGGCAGGGCGGGCGGGCCCTGCTGGGGAGGGTCCTCCTGCCCGAGGCCGGCCCAGCCCAGGCTCCCGCGTTCCAGATGAAGGTCACAGAGGACGACCTGTGGATCCGCACCTATGGCCGCCTCTTCCAGAAGCTGTGCTCATCCAGCGCCGAGATCCCCATCGGCATCTACAGGACCGAGTGCCACGTCTTCTCCTCCTCGGAGGTGCGGGGAGGGGGAGGAGAAGGGATCCCTGAGGCGGCCCCGTTTCTCTGTGACTCAGGCCGCCCCATTTCCAGTTTGGGGATCTGGGCCTTTGCTGTCAGGCCCTTTTGGGGTCAGGCCCACATACCTCCATACGTGGACATCCCCTGGGTGGCTGTGACCCCCCCATGGGGGAGGGGCGGCTCGAGAGCACTGTGGGGCCCCTGTGCCGCCCGCTGGAACTGCAGAGGGTGGCCTGCCCACGGGTCCTGAGTCCACGAGGGCTCAGGCAGCCTTGCGGGTCAGGGCAGGAGCCCCACAGGTACCCAGGCTGCCCTGGTTTCCTTTGCAGCCTCACAACCTCAGGGCCCAGGTGAGTGGTCCCTTCAGGCCCACAGGGGTTCACTTAACATGCACGAGTCCTGCCTGGCAGGGGCGCAGGGCCCTGGGCTCTGGGTGACAGGTCAGGGAGCGAGGCCCCAGGATGCGCCAGCCAAGGTGCAGCTCAGAGAGGGCTCCTGGCATCACCCCAGCCCCCATACAGATGGGCAAACTGAGGCCCAGGACGGGAAGCCCAGGGTCCCCCAGCCCCCATGACATCTGCCTTTCGTGCCACGGCCCCCGTCCTGGCAGGTACCCCTTCCTCCCCACTGTCCATCCCGACCTCCACACCCCCAGAGCCCCACACCCCGACTGAGCCACGCAAGGCCCTGGCACTTCCCAGCCTACCATGTGCCCCACTCCCGCTCTCTCCTGCCCCCCAAGATGAGGAAACTGAGTCGCACAGAGGAGGTGCCCCCCACCCCCCGCCCCATGGCAAAGTCGGGACATGCAGGGCCCAGAGAGGTTGAGGGAGGTGCCGCCTCTCACCAGCAAATCAGAGACAGACCTAGAGCCAGCAGCTGGGACGGCTGAGTGGTTTGGGGCTGTGGCCCGGCACCCTCTGCCCAGCTGCAGAGGAAGGCACTGGCGTCCCTGGGCTGAGGTGCCCCCAGGGACTGTGACTGTCCTCCTCCCTGTCACCCCAGCTTCTCCGTGGGTCACTCCATCCTCTGCCCGGCACCCCTCCCAACCCGTCCCAGCCCCTCCCCTGTCCCCTATCCCCCTCCCCGTGCCCGGGTCCCCCTCCTCTCCTGGGCCCTCACCCCTCCTCCCCGGCCAGTCCCAGGTCTCGGTGAGCGTGGAGCACCACGAGGAAACCCGGGAGGCGCAGGGGCCCTGGGGCTCACGGGCAGGCACGGGTGGCGGCGGGCACACGGTGGGCGGCGGCTCGGCGGAGCGCCCGCTCCTGCGGCGCAAGAGCCTGCCGTGGGCACGGAGGCTGAGCCGCAAGGGCGCCCGGCACACGGGGAAGGCGGCGGCCGAGGAGATCAGCCAGCAGCGGCTCCGCCTGCACCAGCGGTCCGAGCGGCAGGAGCTCTCCGAGCTGGTCAAGAACCGCATGAAGCATCTGGGGCTGCCCACCACTGGCTACGGTAAGGCCGCAGGGCCGTCTGCCCGTCTGCCTTCCCGGCCCGCGCTCTGCCCACCGGGGCACCCGCCCCGCGGCCCGTCAGAGCTCCCCGTGTGGAGCTTCCGCGTAAGGAAGGGCTCACCCCTCCACTCTACGGTCTCAGTTTCCCCATCTGTAAAATAAAGGCCCAGGCCGGCTGAGCCTAACAGGCAGCTCTCCTGCAGGAGGCAGCTGGGGGTGGGGAGGGCTGGGTCGGGCTCCCCGAAAGCCAAGGGCACAGGCCTCGGTCGGGGACAGACCGGCCACCTGCAGCCGGTCCTGCTGGGGTCAGAAACACAGAGGCCCGCTGTGTACTGTGAGAACAAGAACAGGGTGTGGCAGGGAGACCCCAGAGCCCCCGGCCACCCCTCCCCTTGCCCTCCCAGCAGCTGGAGCTCGGGGTTACGGGGGCAGATCTGGGGGCCGCCGGTCGAACGGCCAAGCACCAAAACACTCTTCCCGGGCCACGGGGGCCCCACCGTTGCTCCTAGCGCACGGCCACCCCCTCCCTGCGACTTCAGGGCGACACCGCCAGGGCGGTTGTCATCGGCAGATTTTCTCCATAGCTTGTTTTGGGGAGAAGTTTGTGACGTGACCGTGAACAGGCCTGGGGTGCCCTGGCTGGGCCAGAGGAGAGAAGCCCGTCCCCTCCCCTCACTCCAGAGTTGCTGCCTCCGTTGATGGGGCCGAAAGGGGCCCAAGCCCCCCACCGCCGCCCGGCCTGGTGAAGGCTCTGGACTCCGCTGGGTTCCGTCTCGGGGACTCTGCCCACTTCCCAGGCCTGGCTCTGTCCCCAGGCGCCCACCTCCTGGCTCAGGGGCCCCTAAGTCCCCTCCAAGTGGGATGAGGCAGCTCGGGCTTCACCCAGGAGCTGCCCAAGGGTCTGGCTGTCTGCGGGCCCCGAGGTGGACGGCCGCCCATGAGAGCTGCCCAGCCCCTCCCGGCCACACCCCAGCCTCACGATTTACCTCTGTCCCCTCTCAGTGCTGTCACCCCCCTTCCGGGTGGCACACTGACTGCCGAGGCTCCGAGTGGGGTGTCCCGTGTTCACGGCCTCGCGTCGCGCACTGGCAGAGACTCCAGCTCAGCTGAGCCCCAGAGCGGGCGCCCCTGGGTGGGCACTCAGTGCTCCCCTGGGCCTCCTCGCCCCCCACACCCCCACCAGAGCCTGGCAGATGAGGGACCGACTTCTGTTCAGGGACAGACGGGCCTCCCGCCTTGCAGCCGCCCCCTGCCCCCCTCCCCGCTGCACTGCCGCCTCTTCTGCGCTGTTTGCTCACCTGTCTCTCTCTGTTTCTGTCTGTCCCTCTTCCTGTGTGTTCCGTAGAGGATGTAGCAAATTTAACAGCCAGTGATGTCATGAATCGGGTAAACCTGGGATATTTGCAAGGTAATTCTGCTCCGGTGGCTGGAGTCTGGCAGAGGGGCAGGCCAACCCTTCACCGACGGTCCACCTGGTGGCCGCCCGCCCCGGCCAGGCAGGCAGACAGGACAAGACACGAGGGAGGGTCCCTGCAGTCAGGGGCCCACGAGCTCCCAGGCCGCCCCACCGCGGGGACCTTAACTTTCCTCCTTCATTTGCTGACTTCGGTACTGACCCTAGTACCCCAGCCCTTCTGCCCCAACTGTTGTCTGAGATAAGCCCTGCTCTGAGCACGGAGGTGGCCATCGGCCTGCAGCCAGCCCCTGGGAGCCCACCCAGCTCTCGGGAAGCACCCAGATGGAGGGCCCCAGGCCAGGGTGCCCGTGGCCCTGTGGGCTGGTGCCTGGGGCCTTGGGATCTGCTGCGCCCTGAGCCTTCGGAGGGCCACCCAAGCCCGGGGGACGGCTGACCACCGCGCCCCCGCTGGGGCTTCAGGAGGGGGTTCTCTGTCTCATCCAGAGGCTCAGGTGCTGCGTGGGCCCCCTGTGTCTTCCAGGAAGACACTCCACAGCCCCCAGACGTGCCCCCAGACCCCAAAAGAGGTCAGAGCAGAGTCCAGGCCTCCCTGCCGGGACCCCTTCACTCCCTGGGGGCCCCTCACGATCCGGGGAGGCTCAGAGCCAGCACGCCCCGGCCCTCTGGGGTTAGGGGTGACCCCAGCGCTGACAGGCCTCCTGAGCCCAGGTAGGTGTTAGCTCAGGTGGGACTGGACGGCCAGGGGCAGACCCAGGCCCAGGAGCGAGAAGCTCCGGGGTTCACGGCGGGGGAGCTGCTGGGGGTCGGCCCAGCTGGGCCTGAGCAGGCAAAGCCCTGGCATCTCCGGGGTCCGTGTGCTTTTCCTCACCCCGCACCCCACGACCGCATTCACGGCAGAGCCCCCAGGCCAGCCCAAGTCCAAGCCTGGGGCTGCCGTGAACGGGGTGGCTGCGTCGCCCCCTCCCTGCGCCCAGCTGCACCCCTGCTCCCTGCCAAGGCTCCCGGGCAGGGGTGGCCACACCCACAGGCTCCCCGGGTGGTGTGTCCTGAGCCCCCCACCGACGTGTGGACACCGAGAGGTGCCTAAGCCAGGATGTAAAACCAGAGGAGAGGCTGATCCTGGGGGGCTGCAGGGCAGTCAGTCTCCCGGGGAGGGCACCGCCATGAGGACCCAGCAGCGGTATGCATCTCGGGGGAAGGTGCTACAGTTGCCCCCAGTGCACGGAGGAGAGTGGGGCTGTGGTCAGGGTGGGGCGCCAGAGGAGCACGTGGACGCCCAGGGCCGGGCCGGGCGTCTGGTCTGCGGGCTGAAGGAGGAGGGCCCGCACAGAGGCTTGCGGTGCCCGGTAGCGGGTGCGGGGGGGAGTGCAGCAGCACAGCCCTTGGTCACTGGCCAGGAGTGCCATCACCAGCCCCCGGCCGCACCCCGGGCCCTCACCAGAGCACAGCAGGCACGGCGCGGCCGCCCCGTCCCACGGAAGTCGGGGTCTGGGCCTCGCAACAGAGCACACCCAGCCCTGGGCGCCACAGCCGGGCCCCTGTAAGCACGGAGCTGGGCCTGCTTCGGGCCGGGAATGCCCGTGATCCATGCCCCCCGGGGGAGAAGCAGGGTCTAGGCCGGAGGGGAGGGCCCAGCGAGGCAGGCGTGGCTCCCCCTCTCCCCGGCCACACAGAGGGGCCCGGCCCAGCACCGGCCTCTCGGTTTCCTTGTTCTGACCGTGCGCCTGTCCCCGTGGAGCCGTCCTGGCTGTGGTCAGGGGTGCGGGATCCCTGAGAGCCTTCGGGAGCCTCCCCGCCCCCACCTGCGCCACCCGCTGCCCCCACTGCCCGGCTCCGTGCTGCCCACCCTGGAGGCACGCAGCCTCCAGCGTGAGTCAACCTGGCTCGTGACCCCGCGCGGGGGTCAGGCCGTCCCCTTCCCGGGCGTGGACGTGAGGTTGGCACCAGCTGATGCCGTCAGGGTCTGCACATGTCCGTCAGCTCCCGGGTCCCAGCCTGTGCCCCGACCTGTCCCCAGGAAGCACGCCGTCCGCCTGCCGCCGTGCGGGTCCCGAATGTACCGCCAGATGCGGCCCTGAACCCATCAGTTCAGAGGCGCGAGCTGCAGCCCCCCCGCCCCCGGCCAGCCAGCGGGCAACTGCCCTGGCTTCGCAGAGGATCCTGCCCCCCAGTGGACCGGCTGGCGCCGAGAGAAGGGAACGGGAGGGGCTGGGGGCAGAGGCCACCCAGGGCCTGATCCCCCTGGAGGGCCGGTCCTGGGTCAGGGGGCGCCTTTAGGCATCACCAAATGGGGAAACTGAGGCCGCCAGCCGTTCGTGAGCTTGGGGTCACTGCCAGACAGCGGCCAGCCCTGTCCCTGTATCTGGCCGGAGAGGCACCTGTGAGGTGACCAGGGTTTCTCCAGAATCCACAGCCACCCCGTGGGCTGGACCCCAGGCTGTCTCTGTGACGGGCAGCTCGGACCCCGTGTGTGCCCAAGGGCCCCTCTGGGAGACTGAGCCGGGCGGACTCCGGGCTGGTGCCACGGGAGCAGGTCTTGGGAAGGAAAGGACAAGTCTGAAGCGGAGGGTTGAGGAGGGGTCAGGGGTGGCCTGTATGGGGTGGGGATGCAGGGCACTGGGGGGCGGGGGAGGGAGGGAGTCTGAGGGCTGCACTAGGTGTCAGTGCGGGTGTGTAGGTGTGTGCACACGTGTCGGTGTGCACAGGTGTGCTCGATGTTCAGGGTCAGCACACCCTAAGATGTTGATGACTCAGCTGAGCGAGCCATCGAGAGACCGTGGGGGCCAGTGCCTGCTGCCCTCGCGGCCGCCCCCATGCCGTGCAGCGCGGGTGCCGAGGCCAGTGTCGGTCAGGGAGGACCGGCCCTGCTGGGTTCGCCAGGACAAGGGCTCAGGCAGAACGGCTGAAAGGCCGGGAGGATTCTGCAGCTGGACCAGGGCTGCCAGCTCCTCGGGGCCCCCCAGAGCGGAGGTGGAGGGGGGGGTGCTGAGTGGTGACTGCGCGCTGGGCCCTGTCTCCGCAGACGAGATGAACGACCAACAGAACACCCTCTCCTATGTGCTCATCAACCCTCCACCGGACACGCGGCTGGAGCCCAACGACATTGTGTAAGTACCGGGTCCCCGGACAAGTCTAGACACCTGCCTATCTGACGCGTGGGCGTCCAGCCCAGCCTCCCAGGCGCAGAGAGACATCAGGGACCTCCCGCCCTCCCCGCAGGTATCTCATCCGCTCAGACCCCCTGGCCCACGTGGCCAGCAGCTCCCGGAGCCGGAAGAGCAGCTGCAGCAACAAGCTGGCTTCCTGCAACCCCGAGACGCGGGACGAGACGCAGTTCTGAGTGCCGTGTGGAGCCCTCCGGGCCGACCTCGTCCTGCCAGGGTCCGTGGGCCGCGTGATGCATGAGCGCAGGGCCCCGACCCCCACCTGCCGCCTAGCCCAGAGCTGTTCCCGGGACTGGACCCGGTGACGGCCGAGGCTGCCCCGGGCACTACCAGACGCTGGTGGGAAGCCTTTTTAACCTGTTTTTACAAATCTATACAATCCCTGGCCCTTTGCACAAACGCACCGCAACTCGTGACCGGGTCTGGCCGCAGTGCAGAGACAGGAGCCAGGCTGGACTGCAGAGGCCCGGGCCGGGGGCTCGCACCGGAGCAGGAGAGCACACTGCAGCCCCTGAACTTGCCCGTTTCCACGGCCACGGCTGGTATTGATTCCTGGGCCTTGCCCACAGCTCTCAGCCAAGCCACGGGGCGGTGGGCCACCCTTGTCTGCCCTGTGGGTCCCCTGTGGTCTCACTTGTGAGGGTCTGGCCCAGAGTCGGGCCGCAAGGGTCTCCGGAACGGTGAGGCAGGCATGCGAAGGGAGCCTTTTCCAGAAGGAAATGAAAAGCAGGAGGGTCCGCAGCGCGGCCGAGGCCCTGGCAGGGGCGGGGCAGGGGGCTCTGGAGAGGTACCAGCAGCCTGGGCTCGGTAGGAGGGAGGCGGGGCTGCTGTGAGACCCCACAGCGGCCTTGGACTTTGGGGAAGAGAATCAGATGACGGCCTTTTCCTCTGGTTTTACGCTGAACTTTCGCAGCCGCGCCATCTGACCTCCTTTTAACACCAGACCTGAAGCACAATTCAGCCGCTGGGCTACTAGTAGGCCCAGGCCTCCGCGAGGGACATTTCTCCTTCTGAGGGAGGGACTCGGGGCACCACCGCGGTTCCTGTGTGACTCTTTCTGACAGGTTTTGCACGCTCAGTGCTGGGAACTTCTATTAAATGGATGCATCCTACAGACAAGAGGATTGCTTGTAAGGCCTCCCCTCCATGGCTTCAAGGTCTGGGCCTGGGTCTGCCCCAGCCGCCCAGTTTCAAGGGTTAGAGACACTTGCTCTGGTCTCCAACCCCCTGGTCCCCACAGGGAAGCCCCTACCCCAGGGAGATGCTGCTGGCCTGACCATTCCCGAAAAGCAGGAAGCAACTCAGGTGGTGGCGGGGACGGGGTCCAGGAGGGCTCCCTGGCGAGCTGCCTGGCCCTGGAGCCCGGCCGTGCCCAGGAGGGATGTGTGCCCCTCGCCAGCACAAGGCAGCCGTGTTTGTCTTGGGGTGGGGCTCCCGCTCCTACAGAGAGTATTCCCAGAGGCTGGCAGAGGAGCCAACGCGGCCCCCCACCCGGTGGGGGGTGGGGGGGCGGGGCCACACGGCTGCTGGAGGAGCCTGCCCTGAGGGAGGGGCACACGTGCAGCTCCTCTCCCCCACGCTGGCCGCCTGGGGACACTCCCGCCCAGAGAGCGTCTACATGCCCAGGGGATGGTGCAGGCTGTGGGCAGTCGGGAAGGGGGCTGACCGGGCTTGGGAGACCCCAGGGCCCTTGATGGAGCAACAGGCCGCCAACATGGGCTAGGGTGGCCTCTGGGGCCAGGGCCCGTCCCAGCAGGGTCAGTGGCTCCTGGGGTCCTGCCAGCGAGCGTCCTCTCCTGCACCTGCCACCTCTCCTGGCACCCACGCTCCAACTCCCTGAGGGGAGGGGACCCTGCTTGGCCGCTGGACCGGGGGCTCCAACCAGGTGGGGCTGCAGCTCCTGGAATCCCACACGGGGAAGATGGCATCCGACAGGGATCCTCAGGAGTTGTCTGACTTGAGTCTGGGGTGCACAGGACAGGCGGTGAGAAGTGGGGTTCATCTCCAGACCGGGATGCACAGTCATACCCACTGCTAAGTGTAGACAGAGGGCCCAGCGGAGGCTGGAGACCTGCACCCGGGCGCCCTGACCGAGCGAGTAGAGGACATTTCTCAATGTTTTGCCGAGTTTTTCAAACATAACAAAATTAGAGGAAAACCTCTTTTATTTATTCCTATAGAAAGCTGGTCAGAACAATAACGCCAGCAACGTGCCGGCCATTCCGGCTTGTCAAGGGCGCAGGGCCTGGGAACACCGGCTTAAGGTGCCCGCTCGCCCCACCCCGGAGCCAAGCGTTCACAGGCAGACGTGCGGCAGGTGCAAGTGGGAGCCCAGACTCGGGGCGGCCGCCCAGAATCTCACAAAGAAGTGCGACTGGCAGCTGGGGGACGAGAAGATACGGAAGCACAGCAAATGCTTACTAAAGCCAGAGAAGGCAGAAAAGGAGAAAAAAAGGACGGCGGGCACAGCACAGTCCTTCACCCCAAGTCCACCCGCCAAAAGAGGAAGGAGGCCCCTCCTCGAGACGGCGCCGGCCCGCCCCGCGCCCCGGAGGCCGAACACGGATGCAGGACCACAAGGCGGGCACCCCACGACGCTCTTGGCCCTCATCTCGACCCCGGTCCACACCCAGTGGTCTCAGAGGTGCCTCTTTCTTTTGGGGGCAGCTGTGCGCCCTGATGAGTGGGTCTCTCAGAAGAGTCGCAGCATTTTCCTGTGAGATTGGCGAGCTATGGCTTCCTGCGTCCCAGGGTCCCCCGACGGGCGTGCAGGCTGGGGTCTGCCGTCCAGGACCTTAGTCCGCCCGCCCTGAAGGCAGCCCCGCCCACCTGGGGCTTGGGGGCCTCGGCTGGAGCCTCCAGGGGCAGAGGCTGGGGGAGCACCCCCGGCATTCCAGGCCCCCAGGGGCGGCCAGATGGCCAGAGCCACCTTTGTCCTCAGTGACATCCGCAGGAGCTTGGGGGCCTAGCACGGTGGTCTCGGGGAACTCAGGGATGCCTAGAGCAGGCCCTCCAGGCGGGGACTGTCAGAGACAGTCTGTTCCATGGCCCCGGTCACAGAGCGCAGAGCTGGGAATGACCATCAGGTCCTCCATGCCCCGGGCACCCTGCATGGGCACCTCCAGGTACCCTCAAGGGCCTGCCTGGGGGGCCGGGGGGTGGCCACATAGCACTGACCCGCACCCTCTGCAGCCCTTCTGCAGCCCCCAGCCTGGCACGTCACTGCTGGCTCCAAGAGGCCCGCTGGACCTGGAAGTGTGGTCCAGGCTTGGCTGCACCTTCCTCTCTCCAGGAAGACACCCTTCCTGGCAGCCTGGCCTCCATCAGGGACCTGACTGTGGCTGAGTTCCCAGCAGGCCCGAGGCCTCGCCTGTCAGGGGCAGACGGCTTCCCTCCCAGGTCCTGAACTCAGGCCGCTGCCTGGAAGATGGAGAAGCAGCAGACCATCCGTCCTTCGGGGAGGGGCCTTGGTCAGGACTCTGCCTCGCCCTCCTCTTGGGCGCCTGGGCAGCCTCGGGGGCCGGGCAGCCAGGAGGAGGTGGTTCAGGGGCACGAGGTTTGCACTGGGGAAGCGGTGTGAGCGTGTGGAATGGGGGGCAGAGCCCGTGTCCACCCCTGACGCTCTCGTCATGGCACTCTAAGACCCTGCCTGGTCTGGCTGTGGGGTCCCTGTCACCCCAGGGCCTGTCCCCTCTCACGAGGACTTGGGGCTCTGAGGCTGCAGGCTGTACCCGGTCCCGCTGTGGGCCCTGCTCTCCCACCAGGGAGGGGACCCTCAGGCTTGAGTCTCATACTTTAGGAGACTGTGGTGGGGGGGGGCGAGGGGTGCAAGATGAGCCTTGGATAGAAAAAGCAGCTCTACCCAGGACTATTCCTCACCAGCCTCCCCCAAGTTCCGAGTGACTGAGGCCCAAGTTAACAACGTGGGTTCACAGTGGACCTCCATTCTGGCCCTGGTCACCTGCAGGGAGACCACCCGGCCCCTGCAGATCCCTTCTCTGGCGGGGACCCCTGTCACCTCAGAGCGGCTCCTGGTCAGGGGGCAGGGTCCTGGAAGGTGTTCAGGGAACCTGGCCCCGAGGCAGGGGTCCTCGAAGCCAAGCGCCACACCTCCAGGGTCCCTCTGGGTCATGGTGGGGAGGACGGCTCACCCAGGCCGCCTTCCTGCTGCCCCGCACCGTCCCAGGGACCCGGGCCACAGCCCCCAGGACGGCAGGGGCTCCACACTCGCTGGGCGTCTGCCACAGCCCGTCGTCCTGCCCATCTCGGGGCCGGCCCTTCAGGCCAGCAGCTCCAAGAGTCCGGACGGAGGGGGCCCATGGGGAGCTCAGTGCCCACCTTGGCTCTGAGGCAATCCCTGTGGCTGGTTCCCGGCTGCCCTCCTGCACAGGGGGGTTTGGGGGTCTTCCCAGAGGAACTCCTCCCCCAGGGCCTGCCCCAAGAGCTGGTGCTGAGCCTGGGTCCTCACTGAGGCTGGACGGGGAACCAAGTAAGTCTTTAGAAACACTGCTTACCACAACACCAAAAAGAAAGTGAAGAAGTGCTGAACGGGTAAGATAATATACAGAAGATAACGTAAATATGTTTTAAAAACTTGCCTTCTGTATATTATTTAGAAAAAGACAGATGACCCAGCAGGAAGGTAGGCAAACAACTTGAAGAGACATTTCACAAAAGAAGAAAATCAAAAAGACCAACAAAGAGATGGAAATATGCTCTACTCATCTGTAACCAGGGAAACGCCAATTAAAAACACTAAGAGGGGGGCTTCCCTGGTGGCGTGGTGGTTGAGAGTCCGCCTGCCAATGCAGGGGACACGCGAGCCACAACTACTGAGCCCACGCACTGCTACTACTGAAGCCCGCGCACCTACAGCCCGCGCTCCGCAACAAGAAGCCACCGCAATGAGAACCCCGCGCACTGCAAACGAAGAGTAGCCCCCGCTCGCCGCAACTAGAGAAAGCCCGTGTGCAGCAACGAAGACACAACACAGCCAAAAATAAATAAATAAATAACGCTAAGAGAAGGGGTTATATTCCAAACACCAACAGTAAAAAAAAAGGCCACGCTTTGGCATGTATGCTGCTCCCATAATGAAAGAATCCTGTCTAGATTATTTAAAAATCTTCTATGAATCCGTAAGAAAAAGAACCACCCAGTTAGAGAGGCCCAATTGAAAGTGGGCAAATGACCAGAAATCTCCCAGAAAGGGAAGCGTGAATTTGCTCCGTAGACACTGAAAAAATGCCTCACCCTCACGCCAGGGGACGCCCGGTGACACCAGCAGGACAGCCGTGGGATTCCGTGTGAGCCCGCCGTGCACCCGCCGTGCCGGCCCGAGCAGAGCCCCCGCACCTCCAGACCTGCTCTGAGACCCCAGGGCTCGTGGGCTCAGTCCTGCAGTACGGACTCCCCGCCACGCCACCCGCAGTGGGACTGCACCCCGCATGGGCGGAGGGAGCTGCAGTCCGCGTGGAGGCACGTGGCCCTGCTCACCTGCTGGGGCCCAGCCCCTCCCAAGCCCAGACGACAGGGAGACGGCAGGCACCCGAGTCAGGGCTCCTTGTCCTGGGTCCCCAGAGCCAAACCCTGAATCAGCAGATGGCACCCCATGGAGTCCTCTGGGGATTTTGTGTGCGGTGGCGGCCCATCTGCAGACCCGGTGCGAGGGGTCGGCACCTGCTGACTTTGAACCTCGGGCTTAGTCACACCTCCGGGACGCCCTAAGTGACCGTAACCGGCTGTTCGGGGGGTCAGCAGTGGGCTTCACTTCCCGTGACCGCCCTGCTCGATGCACGTGCTGGTCACGAGCGGGTCTGGAAACGCTTCAGTTTGCATGCTGGTCGCTGCACTTCTAACACTCACCACCTGTTCCTGTGCTTTTCTAGGAGGACTTTCATATCTCTGCCAATAAAGACGGTTCAGGCTTTTCTTTTCCTACCTTTAAACCTCCTGTTTCCCTGTCTTATTACAACGGCTCAGACGTCCAGGAAAGCCCTGGCTACTCACTGTGACCACAGGCAAACTGGCCTCCACCCTGACTCAACAGTGAGACACTGAAAGTGTCCCCAGTTAAGTGTGGGGCTTGCTGGAGGTCTCTGGCGGGTATCATCAAATTACGAGACTTCTAACGGCAACGTTTTTCATCGTGAATGATACATATTGAACGTCATCAACTTCTTTTTACGTGTGGTTTCCCTCTTACACCCAACGTAAATTACACTTTCTCACGCTGAACCTTTATTCCCATTTAAACACTGCTGAGCATAATGTCTGAGTCTGGGTTCATCTTAGTATTTTATATTCACCAGCAGGAACTGGGGCATGATTTCCGGTCCCTGTGTCTTCGGCCAGGTTTTGATGCAGAGAAACCTAGTTGTATGCGTCGCTCTACTGTGTGTCCGTGCACAGCACCCCTACCTGGGCCTCCTCGCGCCTGAGAGCCCTCTGCCCCGCCCCCAGACACACCTGAACGTCTCCGAGGGTGTCTCCTGACCGACGACACAGCACAGGCTGCATGGCAGCACTTCCCCTTCTTGGTGGCACAAAATAGTGGCACATCTTAAAATTAAGGACATCTTAGACCAGCAGACACGGGTCCTTCCAGTTGCCCGTCTGAGAGGCTCCACGAGGACAGGGCACCCAGGGGCCGCTTGCTGACGCCACCCGCCCCGCGTGTGTGTGACGTCCGAGTCTGCGGATGCCCGGGAGGGTCTGGAAGCGTGGACAGCGGCGACCCCCTGGGCACTGGCACCGGGGGTGGGCAGCCTGCAGCTTCCCCTGGTGTGATTCTCAACTGTTTACCGCATTTGATGCTTTCAAGGAGTGCGTTATTTTATAAATAAACAGAAGTAACATGAAACAGAATTGTCCGGAAAGCAGGGCTTTTTTGTTCATTTGATCCATTTCTAGTCCAAGGAAAGCGTCTCCAAGTAAGGAGCACTACCCGGTGTTTCCTCAAGGGCGGCGCCTTTGGGCAGAGTGGGTTCCGGGCAGCGGGAGGCCTGGCAGGGGTGGGGGGGGGCTGCCCTCACTGAGGGCTGCCCGCCCTGCGTGAAACCCCCCTTCCCCCGCCCCAAGTTCCAGGGCGAGGCCTTCCCCTTGTACCTAGTTCTATGCAGCTGAGGTGCCACCTCCCCGGGGCTTCTAGAACGAGGTCTGCAGCGCCAGTGTTTACGTGAGGGCCTGGGCGCTCAGAAAGCCAGAGCAGACGCCCCGGTCCCGGCACCCAGATCACCCGTAGGTCTGTCTCTAACATGGTCCTGCCTGACTTCAGGGTGGCCGCCCACTCCTGCCCTTCCCATGGGACCACACCTGGCACCGGACGGTGAGCAGGGCTCCAGGTGAGATGGGCCCCGCCCCGTTCCCCAGTCCACGTGTGACCGGGCAGTGGCCTCCACACCCCCGCGTCACTGGGCTCTGGGCCCCACCCTACACCCCATGGGTCCCCGGGATTTGTGACGCAAACGTCCCGCGAGATCATTCCACATCCAGGTGCAAGAGCAAGGGCTTGGCGTCCCCCAGCCCCAACCCGGCAGCAGGTTTAACCAACTTTCACCAAATGTCCAGCTGGTGCCGGCAACATGGCCCGAGGGCCGAGAACAAATAAAGGGAGACGCCCCCGCTGCCCCCAAGAAGCCCCGTGCCCGCCCCACGTGCCCTCACCTGGCCGGTCATCTCCCCCCTGACCCTCCCAAAGCAGCCACGTCGTCCTAAGCAGGTGGCACCTGACGCCTGGCCCCCGTGGATCCCGCCCGGGAGGGCTGCCCCTCTGGCGCAGCAAGCACTTCTTGGATGAGGGATCTTAGCACCCATAGCACACAGGGCGCTCGCGAGCTGAACAGGAGTCTCACGTGAAGAAATACACACAAGGATGACAACGCATTTTCCGCCCCGCACACAGCGGCTTTTTGCAGCGATGCTTCTGCAGCTGATCGACTCCTACTGGCAGTTCCGTGCCTACCACGAAAACCGCACAAAGTAACCATTAATAAATGTACTTTAGAAGCAAAAAACTCTAGGGAGAACTCGTGACAAATACTGAGAACCACTCATTTAAAAAATGAGAATAAACACTTTGTCAAATTTTATCAAGCTCTGTACTTGGGATCCGTTTGCTTTCCTGTAGGTACGTTCTACTTCAATTGAAAAAAAAGAACAAGGGTTGTATTGTGATGAAAACAACAAAAAACTCACCACCTAGAATTAAAAGGGCAAAAAACCAAATTGTTTCTTGCACAAATGGAGACTAGAGAGGTTTATCAGTTCAACTGAAAATAACAGCTTTAAAAAAAAAACACACACACACACTTTAAATTCAAGTCCTGATGCTTCAGCCTCTGCCTGGCGGTGCTGTTGACGCCTTCTGTATGCTCAGAAACTCCCATCACAGGATCCTGACCTGGATGAGCAAAGAGCACACATGGTCCAAGGCCATCTGAGCCCCCATCTCAATGCCTGGTCCTTGGAGCTGCAGGCTTGTCAATTTAACCAATCACATCATTACAGCATTTCAAACTGTAAACGTGGAGCGTGTGCGCAGCCGAGGCCCAGAGTAACGGTACCTCAGAGTTCCCAGTTCCAGACAATCAGTCACCCAATGAAAACACAGGCCCGGAGACGTGACTCCAAGGCCAAGATTGCTAGCTTCTGACCTTTGTAATAGCACCAGCCTAGACTTCACTTTTATGGGAAAGTCGGTTTTTATGCTGTTGCTATTTCTTTGCACCGGCGGCGACCCCAAATTCTCATTGCCAAGAAAGGGTTCCCGTGAAACAAATCCTTCACCGATTACATCCGGGCTTGACGGCGTGGAGCTCAGGCTGTAGTGTTTACTACGTTTTGTTAATTATTCATTCCCACAGTAAGCGGCTTTTCCTTGCTATTGAGGAAATCACGTGGACACGGCAACTCGCTCTTTCTAAAGAACAGAGAACAACGAGATCACCCCCTCCTAGATGAGCACAGGGAAGGGTAGGGAGACAGAGGGGCCCCACTTCTTCCCAGGGCAAGTTCTGCCCCCGAGATCTCAAACGGTCCCCACAGCTCGGGCCTTCGCATGGAGATGCAGTCAGGGACAGCCCGGAGAAGGCTCCAGACCGCGGCAAGGCGCCCCCAACCCCTGCAAGAGACGGCCAGGCGGGATGCCACCCGGACGCGTTCTGCTCCCCGCCAACGCTGGCGGACTTGGCCGTGACCGTGACGCAGAAGCGCAGCCCATCCTCCCCGCACGCAGAGCCCCCACCAGAAACGAGGGCCACAAACTGGGAGGGGGCTGCCTAAAGCCGCTCACTCCCGCTTCTCAAAGGCCAAACCGCGTTTCACAGAGTAGGTCAGCATCAATTAGGAAAGGCTGTCCAAGTTCATCTTAACAGGAAATTTCATTTCAGGTACTTCCCTCCCCAAGTAAGAGCTACAGTTTCAAAAAATAAAAGTATACCCTAGGGGCTTCCCTGGCGGTCCAGTGGTTAGGATTCCACGCTTCCACTG